ATTTTCTTGTATAGGTACAGAATCTGGAAGAAAGCAAAATAAACTATTAACAGGAGACATACCACATTGAGTGGGAAGATATTTTTACTTTTTATTTTATTGTCTCTCTCCCTGTCTCATGAACATGCTTTGCTTTTGTAATTTTTTTTTTTTTTTTGAGACACTGTCTCACTCTGTTGCCCAGGCTGGAGAGCAGTGGTGTAGTCATAACTCACTGCACTCCTGGGCTCAAAAGATCCTCTCACCTCAGCCTCCCCAGTAGCTAGGGCTATAAGCACAAGCCACCATGCCCAGCTACTTTTAAACATTTTTTTTGTAGAGGTAGGATTTAGCTATGTTGCTCAGGCTGGGTCTTGAACTCCTGGCCTCATGATCTGCCCGCCTTGACCTCCCAAACTGCTGGGATTACAGGCGTGAGTTGCAGCATCTGGCCTGCTTCTGTAATTTTTAAATTAAAAGCGAATTTTGGGCCGAGCGCGGTGGCTCACGCCTGTAATCTCAGCACTTTAGGAGGCCAAGGCGGGGGGACCATGAGGCCAGGAGTTTGAGACCAACCTGTCCAGCATGGTGAAATTCCATCTCTACTAAAAATGCAAAAAATTAGCCAGGCATGGTGGTGCACACCCATAATCCAAGCTACTTGGGAGGCTGAAGCAGGAGAATTGCTTGAATCTGGCAGGTAGAGGTTACAGCGAGCCGAGATCGTGCCACTGCACTCCAGCCTGAGTGACAGAGAGAGACCCCGTCTCAAACAAAACAAAACAAAAAAACCCCACTAATTTTAAAGTGCTAAATTTGGACATGAGACTAAAATAAATAAATAAATTTAATATGCTAGCATACATGTAGACACAGATTAGTGGAAAAATAGAAAATCCAGAAATATATGCTAGTATATTTAAGAATCTAATACGTGATAAAGTACATGTCATCAAAGCCAAAAGAAGAATGAGTAATGAATTGTATTAGGCTGACTGATTTGTATTTTGGCAAAAATTCAAGTTACATATGTTTATGTATTTCATATTTCATATATCAAAAGAAATTCAAACTGTATTGAGTTATGTAGAAAAAGTGAGATATCGTCTAGAAAAGTGTGATTATTTCTAAACTTTTAATTTCTTTTTCTTTTTCTTTTTCTTTTTTTGAGACAGGGTCTTGCTTTGTTGCTGGAGTGCAGTGGAGTAACAGTTTACCGCAGCCTAAGTGATTCTCTCACCTCAGCCTCCCGAGTAGCTGGGACTACAGGCAGGCGCCACCATGCCTGGCTAATTTTTGTATTTTTAGTAGAGACAGGGTTTTGCCACGTTGCCCAGGCTGGTCTCGAACTCCTGAGCTCAAGAGATCCATCCACCTCGGACTACCAAAGTGCTGCAATTACAGATATGAATGACTGTGCCTGGCCTAAACTTTTAATTAAAAAAAAAATCAAATATATGGATAATTTGAGTAGTATAAGCAATACCCATATACTGTTCACCTAGATTCACCAATTGTCAACATTTGTCACATTTGCTCTCTCTCTCTCCACACACATGAACACACACATTATTTTTGCTGAGCCATTTTTGAGTCCATTACACTTCATCCCTAAATATCCAGCACATATCTCCTAAGAACAACAACATTCTTTCATACATAACCTCAATATTGTTATCATGCACAAGAAATTAATATTGATGCAATGTCATCATCTAATATACAGGCCACATTCATATTTCTGCTATAGTCCCAACCGTCTTCTTTATAACTGTTTTTTTAAGAATTCCAATCCAAGTTCCAGTTGAGGACCATGCACTGCATAGTGTCAGGACTCTCCACCCTCCTATAGAACAGTTCCCCTGCTTAAAAAAAAACTTTCAAGACATTTGCAGAGCTCTAGCTAGTTGTCTTTTGTTGTATAGAATGTCTTACAGTCTGGATTTTTCTGGTTACATTCTCACAACTAGTTTCAGGTTAAACAGTTTTGGCAAAAATATATCATGGATGATATGTACTTCTCATTGCATCACATATGCAGGCATATAATGTCAGTTTGCCCCATTATTTGTGGTGCTAAACTTCATTACTTAGTTAAGGTATTTTCCACCAGATTTCTCCATTGTAAAGTTACTGTTGTAGGAAGAATTTTGGCCCCCATGACCTTTTCCCCCAGTACGTGTTACAGCAGTGAATATGTTTCACTGTATGGAAAATGGGCTTTTGCAGAAGTAATTAAGGTTACCAGTTGGCCAGTGCAGTAGCTCACACCTGTAATCCCAGCACTTTGGGAGGCTGAGGCAGGTGGATCACTTGAGGTCAGGAATTCAAAGCCAGCCTGGCCAACATGGTGAAACTCCATCTCTACTAAAAATACAAAAATTAGCTGGGCATGGTGGCACATGCCTGTAGTCTCAGCTGCTAGGGAGGCTGAGGCAGGAGAATCGCTTGAACCTGGGAGGAGGAGATTGCAGTGAGCAGTGTTTGCACCACTGCACTCCAGCCTGGGTGACAGAGTGAGACCCTGTCTCAAAGAAAAAAAAAAAAGAAAAAAGAAAAGAAAATGAATACAGGACCTTTCCCTTTATAATTAAACTGTAAACAGTGGGTGGTACTTTGAGGTCATGTGAATATTTTGCTCCCCAACACCCAGGATCATCTGCTGATTATCCTTGCCTGAGTCAGTTATTACTTTGGTGAGTGCAAAATGGTGGTTTTCTTTCTTTTTTTCCCACCTGAATTACATTTTATATATTTATTTTATATTCAGCTTTATTGAAGTATAGTTGTAAATAAAAATTGTATATTTTAAAAAGTATACAACATGATGTTTTGATATATATATGTACATTGTGAAATGATTATCATAATGAGGCTAATTAATTAACATATCCATCACCTCACATAATTACTATTTTTTGATGTAGTAAGAACACTTAAGATCTACTCTTAGCAAATTTCAAGTATATACAAGAATATACAATACTATTAACTGTATCAAGCATAATACAGTGTTAACTGTAGTCACCATGCTGCACATTAGATCTCCAGAACTTATTCATCTTGCATAACTGAAACTCTATATCCTTTGACCAAAATCTAGGCAAATTTACAGAGACAAAAAGTAGACTTGTAGTTGCCTAGGGAGAGGGTGAGGGGATTGAGAGAAAAATGGGAAATGTCTGGGAATGGGTACAGGGTTTCTTTTTGGAATGATGAAATGTTCTAAAATTGATTGAAGTAATGGATATACAACTTTGTGACTGTATACTAAGTCCTGTTGAATCGTACACTTTAAAAGGCTGGATTTTATGGCATCTGGATTTTATCTCTGTGATATTGTGATTTATAATCAATCTGATAATCCAATCAATCACCTAATCTAAGCAACCAGATCTTCATTATATACCCTAATATATTATTCCAAATATGTGTTTAATTTTTCTTGAGTACTTTCCATGTGCCAGGCAGGAAGACTTGACTTCATAATTTCATCTAAGCATCACACAATCTTGTGAATATGTATATTATATCCAGAAACTGAGGCTCAGAGATGTTAGGTAATCAATCCACTGTGGCTGAGCTGTGAGTTTAACCTAGGTGCAATTCCAAATACAGCACTCCTAACCTCTATGTAACAAGGTTTCAGTTGTATAGTGTGTGTTTTCTTTCCCTAGTTAGATTAAGACTAGGAGGGCAAGAATTTTATTTTGTGTTTCTTTCATAGTCTCTTCATTGCTATACTAGCTACTATACACAGTGCTCAATAAATGCTCAGTAAATACTTAATGAATGCCAAATGGAGCTGCAGCTAGTTGAAAATACCAATTTCTTCAAAAAGAATTTAGATTTTAGATTCATGGGTAATATATTCATCATGGATCATTAAAAGAAGCAAGGATATTTGAGTCAATCCTTAATCCCCAAGATGTCTTCATGGAGGAGGAACCACACTTTTCACAACCTTTGGTGCTGTCTTATGAGTACGAATTGATTGGGTCAGATGGATTATGGATCTGACCCAATGTGATCATTCTCAGATTCTTTGGGTCCTTTTCCATTTCCTAGTGTCTCCTAGCCTAAAAGGGCCTACCCTGCTGCTGTTGCCTCTCCCTGTTTGTCTTTCCTTGCAGCCACGTCCCTCTTCTTGTACATTTGAATAAGGTATGGTGCCTATGGGAGGCAGGCATTGAAGTCCAACAGGCCAGGTTTTATCAAAGGTGGTCAACAATAATTACGATGTGGTGTCAAGCACGTTCATGCCTCTAAGCCTCAGCTTACTCATCAGTAAAATGGAACTAAACAAGCTTCCTCCTCCAAGATGTCAGCATTGTCAGAATTTCATATTTAATAGCTTAATATTTATAGGCAGCTGGAGGCACATTATAAAGAGATTGAGGCCTATAAATCAATCTAGACGAGATTAATTATATGTGTACAGGTGGCTTGAAATCATCTTCCATTCTCCAGCTGCCTGCATTAGAAACACCCACAGTTGAGCCTGAGAGCTGAGGGGTCGGGATCAGATGTGTAGACAAGAAAGCTAAGGAAGGCAGACTGAGGGTGAGATGGAGACTCCCCTGCTGTGTTCCGCTTCACTCCTGTAACACACACATACACACACACACACACACACACACACACACACACACACACACAAACACATGCACCCAACTCCCCACCCATCACACCCCACCTACCTTCCCCATTCCTGCCCAGAATCGCTGGTCCTAACAGGGCATAGAGGTGGAAAATCCCATGGGTTCTTTCACCAGAAAGCCTCTTATTGTCCTGTTCTGACGACCAGCGAGGCAAATGGGAAAAGATTGCCCTCCCCCTTTTGTCGCTCCCCGCCACACCAGGCTTGCTAGTGAGGATGGGACGCAGTCTCAGGCCCCACGCAATCCTTTTGCAAAGCCAAGAGGTGTGCGTGTTTTGTGTGTGTGTGTATTGTGTGTAGGGAGGAGGATTGGGGGTGGGATCCCATGACGTTACCGGCTCCGCCTCCCAGTGTATATAAGGGGCGCTTGGCGCGCAACGACCCCAAGCCGCAGCTTTGAAGCCTGAGCGACCGAACTCGGCAGCCCCAGCCCAACTCGGCTTAACTCCGTCTCACCGGACCCAGTCCGAGAGTCTTTGCTCCCTAGATTTGCAACAGCTATCTGGTAAGCGTTGGGGACTGACACGTGTGTCGGAGGGGGGACGGCGAGGGTCCCGGCGTACCTAGGATTCTCTGGCAACCATGGCATGCAGTTGCATCAACGGAGCCGTGACCTGTTGCTGGCTAGACCCCCGCCCCGGGAGTTAGGGCTCCCGTCTCCACCCCAGCTCCAGACCATTTCTAGATGGGGGCAGGAAAATCTGGGACCTGAGTCGGGGGGCATCGGGTGGAACCCTTCCTCTCTGCTGAGGGGAGAGTGCGAGCAATCTCCGGCTGCCCTGGGGCCTCTCTCGGGGCGCATCTCCAAATCTTTAGATGTCGAAGCCCCGCCTCGCTGTTGATGCTTGCAGGTCAGCCTAGCAGGGCGGGAGGAAGTAGGGGAACATTTGCTTACTCCCCTGGGCGACGGCAGCGCTAGTTGAGCCGTGTGGTCTTGGTGAGAAGGGATTGAATTGAGTCGGTGCTCACTTTTAATCTGCAGCGAGGTTGGTCCACTCTCCCTCTGGGCGGTCTGGGAGTCCTGTCTGTTTGAAGCCCCTGGGACAAGCCCCTGTTGAAGGCTCTGGGGCAAGCCCCTGGGTCGAGCTCGGTTTAATTCCCAAATAGCCACAGGCCATAGAACTGACATATTAGGTTTCAGGATTCCTGGGTTGAGATTAGGATAAACTCTATCGGTTCCCGGAAAGAGAAAGAGACCTAATATTGATTGAGCACTGACTAGGCACCAGCCACTCTACTTCAGGGGGCTTTCACCTGCCATTTCTGAAATTAGTCCTTCCAAAAATCTTGTAAGATATTGTATTTCCTACTTGTTAATGAAGAAACTGAGGTTAGAGGTAGAGTGGCTTGCCTTTGTCCCTTCCGTATCCCCCTCTCCATTTCCCCACAGCTCCTTTGCTTGGTGGAGTGGGTCTTGTAATGGGCTTTTAGAGCTTAGAGATAATGAGCCCTATTGAAGGGCTTTTGTCTTGTTTTTCACCAGATCCTAGCATCCTCATCAATTCCTGCTAGAATGCCGTGGCAAGCATTTCGCAGATTTGGTCAAAAGCTGTTACGCAGACGTACACTGGAGTCAGGCATGGCTGAGACTCGCCTTGCCAGATGCCTAACCACTCTGGATTTAGTGGCCCTGGGTGTGGGCAGCACATTGGGTGCAGGCGTGTATGTCCTGGCTGGTGAGGTGGCCAAAGATAAAGCAGGACCATCCATTGTGATCTGCTTTTTGGTGGCTGCCGTGTCTTCTGTGTTGGCTGGGCTGTGCTATGCGGAGTTTGGTGCCCGGGTTCCCCGTTCTGGTTCGGCATATCTCTACAGCTATGTCACTGTGGGTGAACTCTGGGCCTTCACCACTGGCTGGAACCTCATCCTCTCCTATGTCATTGGTGAGATATGGTGGGGAAGGGAGGGAACTGCAACAGCCAGCAAATGGGTTTGGGGTCAGGAAATCTGGGTGGAATGGTGAGGCCGAAGTATTCTTTATATTATTCACAGGACCTCAATCCCCCTAAATGTGTGGGTTAGTTGGGGGATCTGGGAGGGTTGAAGGTGTGGAGAGATTGGTCATTCTACCCAGTTCTGTCCTGGTTTCCTTAATTAAGTGAATGGGTTTTGTTCTTAAAAAGTAAGAATAGGCTGGGTGCAGTGGCTCATGCCTGTAATCCCAACACTTTGGGAGGCCGAGGCAGACAGATCACCTGAGGTCAGGAGTTCAAGACCAGCCTGGCCAGGATGGTGAAATCCCATCTCTATTAAAAATACAAAAGTTAGCTGGGTGTGGTGGCTCATGCCTGTAGTCCCTGCTACTTGGGAGGTTGAGGCAGGAGAATTTCTTGAACCTGGGAGGCAGAGGTTGCAGGGAGCCGAGGTTGTGCCACTACACTCCACCCTGGGCAACAAAGTGAGACTTGGTCTCAAAACAAAAGTAAGAATAGGTGAAATGGCAGGGATTTGTGTGAGCCTGGGGTCCAGGAAGAAGGGAACTTGACCACATGTTTCTCCCTCTGCCACACCAGGTACAGCCAGTGTGGCTCGGGCCTGGAGCTCTGCTTTTGACAACCTGATTGGGAACCACATCTCTACGGCTCTGCAGGGGTCCGTGGCACTGCATGTGCCCCAAGTCCTTGCAGAATATCCAGATTTCTTTGCTTTGGGCCTTGTGTTCCTGCTCACTGGTGAGGCAAAGAGCAGGGTATAATGGTAGGGGTTGGGCCAGGAGGGGCTAGGCCCTGGGGCCGGGGATAAGGATGGGGGATGGGCCTGAGAAGGGTTTGAGGGAGGTGAAAATGTTGGGGAAAAAGAAAAGCTGGGAAAGAACCTAGAGGCAGTGGGAAACAAAGCTTGGACTGAGGACTTTCTGAATGCATTTCTCCCACAGGATTGTTGGCTCTTGGGGCTAGTGAGTCAGCCTTGGTTACCAAAGTGTTCACAGCTGTGAACCTTTTGGTTCTTGGGTTCGTCATCATCTCTGGCTTCATTAAGGGGGACCTGAACAACTGGAAGCTCACAGAAGAGGACTACCAATTGGCCATGGCTGAAACCAATGACACCTATAGGTTAGATGATCACTCTTAGGAGCTGCAGAGTTGGGAAAATGAAGGGGAAGACAGGGATCTGTGCTGAAGGATTCTGGATGGGGATGGGGAAGAATGGGAGGCTGGGCTTTAAAGACCTAGCTAACTAGATTGGCATTAGAGAAAAGATACAGAATTGGTTGAACACACCCTTACTTTCTCCTTCCCTTCTTCCACTGTAGCTTGGGCCCTCTAGGCTCTGGAGGATTTGTGCCTTTCGGCTTCGAGGGAATTCTTCGAGGAGCAGCAACCTGTTTCTATGCATTTGTTGGTTTCGACTGTATTGCTACCACTGGTAACACAGTCATTCCATTCTCTTTGGGGCTTGGGCACAGTGTGTGCCCAGACTGCATGCAGACTGGGGTTGGTAGAGGAGTGGGCCTGCTTCCCTGATGCAGAACTTTGTACCCCTTCCTGCAGGAGAAGAAGCCCAGAATCCCCAGCGTTCCATCCCGATGGGCATCGTGATCTCACTATCTGTCTGCTTTTTTGCGTATTTTGGTGTCTCTTCTGCACTCACCCTCATGATGCCTTACTACCAGCTTCAGCCTGAGAGCCCTTTGCCTGAGGCATTTCTCTACACTGGATGGGCTTCTGCCCGCTATGTTGTGGCTGTTGGCTCCCTCTGTGCTCTTTCTACAAGGTCAGTGTCAAATGTTTGTTTTCTTGTGCTGTCAGAGTTTCAGGTTATAGCATTCAGTACCGGAGAATACCCCTAAAAAGGGCTGTGAGGGGAAGGTGGAGACTCCTTAAACATACAGGCTTTGGAAGAGAGATCTCAGTCAACTCATGCCACCCTGGGTGTTCTCCTCTCCAGCCTCTTGGGCTCCATGTTCCCCATGCCTCGGGTGATCTATGCAATGGCAGAGGATGGCCTCCTGTTCCGTGTACTTGCTCGGATCCATACTGGCACACACACCCCAATCGTAGCCACTGTGGTTTCTGGCATTATTGCAGGTAAAAAAAAAACCTCTTTCCCCTTCCCTTAGTTGTTTCACCAACTTCTTTAACTTTGCCACTCCCTTTTCTCATTTCTTGTTTCCTGCCAATTAATTTTAGCATTCATGGCATTCCTCTTCAAACTCACTGATCTTGTGGACCTCATGTCAATTGGGACCCTGCTTGCTTACTCCCTGGTGTCAATTTGTGTTCTCATCCTGAGGTAAGACTCTCTTCCTCTGCATACGGTGATTTGGATTTTTATTCTTGGATGAGGAATGGTGGGGATCTGTTCCTCTTTCCTCCTCTGCCTTCATCATCCCAATTATCTTTGAATATCTCACCCTGTCAAAAAGAACTTCCCTTAATGGTGATAAGGAAGGTTAAGCTGCCTGTGAGAAGATGGTAAAGTGAGTAAAAGTTGTTCTTAATACTGTCATCTTACTTTTGCCTCAGGTATCAGCCTGAACAGGAGATAAAGACTGGGGAAGAAATGGAGTTGCAGGAGGAGATGATAACTACTGAATCAGAGAAGCTGACCCTACGGGGACTATTTTTCCCACTCAACTCCATCCCCACTGCAGTCTCTGGCCAAGTTGTCTATGTTTGTTCCTCATTGCTTGGTGAGGAGTGGAATTTTTATCTGGGGTGGCCCTGAGGTCAGCGTGTTTGGGTGGAAGTGTGTGGCACTTGGTGGCTGAGGAAGAACTAGAGAGAGAGTGACTCTCCTTGGAATGGGGTTTCTAACGTCTTAGCATGTTGGTCTCAAGAGCTGGTTTCGATGTCTTTCAACTTGACCTTTGAAGCTGTCCTGCTGACTGCTCTTTGCCTGGTGCTGGCCCAGTGGGGAGTTCCACTGCTTTCTGGAGACGTGGTGTGGATTACAGTGGTTGTGTTGCTCCTGCTGCTCATTATTGGGATCATTGTGGTCATCTGGAGACAGCCACAGAGCTCCATTCCCCTTCACTTTAAGGTAAATGACCTCTCTCTTTTTTCCTTGCCAACCCACCTTGGGAGAATAGGCTTCAGACATCTTGAAAGTTTATAGATATTCTTTATTGAACATGAAAGGGAAGATATAGGAGGTACTTAGGCCAAAGACTTCGTCTCTGACCCTCTTTAGTTCCTTTCCAGTTCCATTTACCCGAACTGCAAATTCTCAGTCTCATGAGGCATGCTAAATGAGCAGCCACTGAAATACAGAGAACGAATAAGGGTTGGACTTGTCCTTTTCTGGCCTGCATAGGATAGGGATCTCTTTCTAGGTCACCCTGCCGTATGTACAAAGAATATTTTACTTTGTTTTCAGGTGCCGGCTTTGCCTTTCCTCCCACTAGTGAGCATCTTTGTGAATATTTACCTTATGATGCAGATGACGGCTGGTACCTGGGCCCGATTTGGGGTCTGGATGCTGATTGGTAGGTATCCACTTGGGAAGAGTAGGCTTCTTGGGTGTCCTAGCCCACCTCCTTTCCCTCTTGGTCTCAAGTAGGAGACCTATGAAGGCTTTACACCCCCACCTCACAGCTACATTTCCCCACTAGGTTTTACTATCTACTTTGGCTATGGGATCCGGCACAGCCTGGAAGAGGTTAAGAGTAAGCAACGCTCACGCAAGTCTAGGGCCAAAACTGGCAGTATCTATGTCCACAGAGTTTGATATCGTCACACCTAAATGCTGCCTGGTCCCCTGCACAATAATGGAGAGTACTCCTGACCCCAGTGAGTGCTTGCCCTCCCCTGTGATCGTGGTGGTGGATACTAATAGAGCTCTGTATGATGTGAAGGATATGTCTTTGCTATTTCTTGCCTGTTTTAACCTGTCTGCTTCTAAATGATGTCTAGCTGCTTACTAACTTTAAAAAATGATATTAAAAAAAGTAGAAAAAGAAACTGTGTCCTCTTTTTTGCTTGCTAGAGATGATGTAGAGCCCTACTTTAAGAGTGAAGAGCCTCAGAGAAGTGTCCTTTGTGTTTTCTCCAGTCACCACAAAAGCATCTGCTGTGCTTGCGGTGCTTCTTATTGAATCAGGGTTTGAGGAGGGTGGTGTAAGTAGGTAGCCATCCTGTCCAGTCACACTTAAAGGAATGGTCTTGAGATATGTTTTCCCGTCATTACACTAAGGGTTAGGTTCCAGATAAGTAGACAGCAACACTTGTATCTGGGATTTGAGGGTGGACTGTGAACACAACACTGACATTGGTTAGAGCCTGCACTGAAACCACTGGCTTCTGTTCCACCTCTTCTAGTTCGACCAGTCCCACACTCCTGTGGCTACCTGGGCAACAGAAATTTTGGCTGGGGTGTTTGGCACTGCTGGGAGGAGTAGGGGATAGTTGGGGGTTTTGGTAAGGGACCACATATATTAATATATGGATACTGACTGCCACAGAAGTAGCAGGGAAATAGAGGTCAGAGCTCTGTTCAGACCAAGAACTATTTATCCATTTATTCAACAAACATAGGTGAAGCTCCTATAAATTAGGTCCTGTCCTGAGTGCTGAGGGTACAAATGTGAATGAAACATAATCCCTGCCCTCAGGGAACACACAATCTTGGGTAGGAGACAAGCAGGTAAACATGACTACAAAATAATGTGATTTGTACCAGGGCAGTGCAGAGTGCTGTGGAAGCACAAAGAAGGACATGCTCGACCTGAGTCTGCAGTAGATGCTTAAGAAGTGGACTGAGGGAAGAGCTTGCTGTCAGTGTACAGTGTGCAAGAAACCATGGAAGTATGAAAAAACAGATTCAAATTGTGTTTGGGGTGTGGGATACAGCTTAATGTGGCTGGAGGGTAGCATATATGAAGCTGTGGTTTAAAAGGCTGTATACATGGCCTTGTATACTATGGAATTTAGATGTTATAAGTATGTGTGTGTTTGTGGCAAAAAAGGTGAGAAGGCCAGGTGCATTGGCTCAGGCCTGTAATTCCAACACTTTGGGAGGCTGAGGTGGTTGGGTCACTTGAACCCAGGAGTTCCACACCAGCCTGGGCAATATGGTGAGACCCCATTTCTACAAAAAATAGAAAAAATTAGCTGGACGTGGTGGTATACATCTGTAGTCCCAGCTACTTAGGAGGCTTGAGGTGGGAAGGATCCCTTGAGCCTGGGAAGTTGAGTCTGTAGTGAGGTGTGATGGTGCCACTGTACTCCAGCCTGGATGACAGAGTGAGAATCTGTTTCACACACACAAAAAAGGTGGGGAGTCACTGGACAACTCCAAGTTGGGGATGGTTGGATTTGTTAGTGTGAGTGTGGCAGCAGCAAGGAAGATGGCTTGGAAGTGAGTGGGGCAAGCTAGAGCAGGAAAATAATAACTACCATTTATTGAGTATATATTATATTCCATTACTCTGCATATAATCTTATTAAGTCCTTTCGATAACCCTATGAAGTAGATGTTATGGTAGTTATTTTTAGCAGATAAGGAAATAGGCTTTAGGTGAGAAATATGCTTTAGGTCACATAATGTAGAAAGGTCAGGGCCAGGAAAAGAAGCCCAGTTTTGTTTGACCCTGCAGCGTACACTCTAACTAACTACTATGCAACATTGCTAGCAGTAACTGGCTGCAGTCATTTGGGCAAAATATTTCAGAGTTTTGATCAGTTGAATGTAGGGGATAAAAAAGAAGTGAGTGACATCTGGGTAAAGTTTCTAGGTGAATGATCAAACCATTAACTAATATAAGGGAGCATTAGAGGAAAAGAATATTTGGAAAATAATAAATTCAGTTCCAGGTATGATGAGTTTATAAACATACCTGTGCTTTTAGCTTCATATATAGGAGAAGATATACAGGCCTACAATTGAAATTTGGAGCTAAGATAGAGGCCTGGGCTAAAGTTATAGATTTAGGAGTCAACAACTCAGAGGACATATATAATGTCATAGAGGCTGTGTGGGGCCAAAGGTGACCTTCAGGCAAACTAAACTAAACCAAAAGAAGAAAAGTATTTTGCAGCACAAATTGTATCATTTCCTTTATACACAAACAGCTCTTACAATCAATAGGAAAGAAATGAATAACCTCATAGAAAAATGAGTAAAGGATGTAAATAGTTTCCAGAAAAGAATATAAAACAAAAACAAATAGAAGAGGGATGCTCAACTTCACGTTAGTTCTTACCTTACAGACTGACAAACAAATTTAAATGATGAGGCAAAAGTGAGGTAAAAGAGAAAGTGAGGCAAAAGTGAGGGTAAACAGGCAGTCTCATGCATGATGATACTATACATTCTTGTAAACTTTTGTGGAAGGCAATTTGATGATAAGAATTAAAAACTCATTCCTTTTCATCTGACAATTCCACCCTACCACCTGAATTTTAAAATTTACATATATATAGGGAAGATTTACATACGTATAAGGATGTTTCCTTTTCTTTTTTTTTTTGCTTTTTTTTGAGATCCGGTCTCATTCTTAATCTGTTACCCAGGCTGGAGTGTAGTGGTGCAATCACAGCTCACTGCAGCCTGGAACTCCTGAGATCCAGGGGATCTTCCTAACTCAGCCTCTCCAGTAGCTGGGAAGCATGATTACTTTTATAGGAATTTTTTAAATTATAGGAATTTAAAAAATTTACATATGTATAAACATTTAAAAAATTTACATATGTATAAACATTTAAAAAATTTACATGTGTAAAAGGATGTTTACTGTGGCATTGTTAATATTTGCATAAAACTTGGAAACTCTCTAATGTGCATCGGCAAGAAACTAGTTAAACAAGTTATAATACGTTAATTCAGAGGAATACTTATGCAGCCATTAAAACATAAGAGAACTGTATGTGCCAATAGGTGATACGAAAGACCTTCAAGATACTCTGTTAAGTAAAAACCAAAACAACAAGTCACAAGGTGCAGAATGTTTGTGAAAGAACAAAAGAAAATGTATTTGTACGTTGTATTTTTTTCTCGAAAAATAAATAAGAAACTGTTGATCTCTGGTTTCTCTTCTGTACTTTTTCCTTTTTTTTTTTTTTTTTGTTCCCACTGAGTACGAACATTACTTTTTTCATTCCTTTTATAATGATCATAATAGTAAAAGATTAGGGGAACTCTAACATCTAAGGGATAGACAGAGGAGGGGGACTCAATAAAGGAGCTGAAGAGGGATGACTGAAAAGACAGGAGAATGGTATGGAAGTCTGGGGAGGAAAGAACTTTTCAGGAACGATGAATAGGCTATGCCCCAAGTCCACAATGCCAAATACTGCCTAGAGAGCCAAGGTAAATAAGATAAGGACAGAACAGGGTTCACTGGTTTTTGTCAGTTAGGAGATAGTTGCTCATTTCAAGTGTCAGGTGGTGGGGGTGGAAGCTGTGTTGCAGTGGGTTGAGTGAGATAGAGGGTGAGGAAGTGGGCCCAAGGGGCTATAGGTTAGCATTTCAGGCAGTAGCTGGAGGGAAGGAGATTTTTTTTTTTTTTTTTTTTTTTGAGGTGGAGTATATCACGGTTGCCCAGGCTGTAGTGCAGTGGCGCGATCTTGGATCACTGCAATCTCTGCCTCCTGGATTCAAGCAATTCTCTGGCTTCAGCCTCCTGAGTAGCTGGGACTATAGGCGTGCGCCACCACGCCTAGCTAATTTTTTTGTATTTTTAGTAGAGATGGGGTTTCACCACATTGGTGAGGATGATCTTGATCTCCTGACCTCCTGATCCGCCTGCCTGGGCCTCCCAAAGTGCTGGGATTACAGGTAGGAGCCACCGCACCTGGTCTTCTTCTTCTTCTTCTTTTTTTTTTTTTTTAAGATGAGTGATTCTTGCATTTATATACTTAAAGAAAATTGTCAATAGGGAACACTGATATGTCCTGGTACTTCTGTTGAAGTAACTCACATATGAAGGAGAAAGTGGTTCTGTGATTTGGTTCTCTAGTCAGTTTTCATTCAGTGTAGTGTTTCTTAGACTTCAGACATCTGAGTATAACCTTCATGAATTTTTCTCTATCTGTGTAATTCCTTTACTATTAAAAAAAACCCCATATTTTAAAGCTTAAATATACTTATTTTAAAAGTAAAACATTTTACCATGATCATAAATAGAAAACAAAGTATTTAATATTTTTCTAATACACATTAAAAGAAATATCCCACTATCAAAAAATGTTTGGCTGTGCAACACCTAAAATAATCACACATACCACACTTTGGAACATTCATACATTTGGGCACTATGCTTGAAGATGGAATTGAAAATTGCTTTGGGCATGGTCTAATCTTAATCTCCATAAGGAGACAGAGATCACATTGAATCAAGTAAGTACAAAGACACAAAATAGGAAATAATAAATGCCCTAAAAGAGGTATGCATGAAGTACCATGAGAATTCACATGAGGAAGTTCTGGCAGGGAGTTCGAGGATGTCTTCATGGAGGTCAAGGCTTTTAAGCTAAAGCTTAAAGAATAGGTAAAATGTGTAATTTAATAAATTGGAGTGAGAGCATCCAGGAGGATGGAATCTTGTGCACAAAGGCAAAAAGATGGGAAAGCTTATAATTCAACTTGCCCAGAGCCTAGGATTTTGAAGGGATGAAGTGGAAAAAATAAGGCAGGAAAGATAGAAAGGTAAGTTCCAGAGAGACTCTTTTTTTTTTTTTTTTTTTTTTTTTTGAGATGGAGTCTTGCTCTGTTGCCCAGGTTGGAGTGCAGTGGTACAATCTCAGCTTACTGCAACCTCCACCTTCCCAGCTCAAGTGATTCTCCTGCCTCAGCCTCCCAAGTAGCTGGGATTACAGGTGTGTGTCACCATGCCTGACTAATTTTTGTATTTTTAGTAGAGACAGGGTTTCACCATGTTGGCCAGGATGGCCTCGATCTCCTGACCTCAACTGATCCACCCGCCTTGACCTCCCAAAGTGCTGGGATTATAGGTGTGAG